TTTGTCCTTTGGGTAATTCACCATCAAGCTTTCTGTGCTTGATTAGAGAATGCATCCTTAAGTCTTGTGTTGTTCTTGAGGAGAAGGAGGGCAGTGGAAAAGAGAGGGAAGGAATGGAAGTGAGAGTCACCAAAAGTCAGAGGCTGGAAGGAAAAGTGGGGAGACAGAGTCTGAAAGTGTAAAAGTAAGGAAGTCTTTGCTTAAGGTAGTTGAGGTTTATCTGCTGAGCTGATTGAGGAGGCTGTGTGTCTGAGTTAAAAAGGCTTGAGACAGTCACTTGGCATAATTTCTCCATCTTCAATGATTTACTACTGAAGTGCAAACATCAATTTTGGATTCTCTCCTGAGAAACGTTTAACAAAGTCAGTGAACTACTGGTACCCTGATATCTTTTTAGATTTGCCAAACTTTGATAGCTCTTTAATAAACCTATGCTTGAAGTTTATCTTTTTTTTTTTTTCTCCTAAGGAAACAGGTCCATTAGTAAATATGTAGATGTAAAAATGATCTTCCTCTTTACTTCTCTATTGTGATATATCTTGGAATTGTTGAGAAATGCACTCTATTGTTAAAGCTATTTGTGCCGGGTGTGCTAATGCACTCTTTGATTGAGTGAATTAGCAGTCATAACAATCTGGCAGTCTGGCCATAGAAGTGTGCTCAAATTGATTTGTGTTATGGCTGGACTGGAAAATCTAGTGTTAGTTGTTTTTTGCCCTGGGGCATTGTTTGTACCAAACTCCACTTTTCATTTAATTTTCCAATACATTTTGAAAGATTGAAATGCTTGTGATCAACATTTGATCTACTTGCATTATTTAAAAAAAAAAAATCTGAAAGTAATTTCAGATTCCAAAAAACCTTGCTTTCAATTAGAGTAAACATAATTAGAGTGACGTCGTGCTCAGAATGGTAAATCTCCTTTTGAATCTATTAAGCATTTTATCTCCTTGTCCTGTCACTGAAAGGGATTCATTCTATATCTGGAATATACATCTGTATGTTTTTGTGCATGTCTCTAAGAGAACTTGGGAAAAAATTAAAATAATAAAATTGCAATGAATCTTTTCTTCTTGTTATTTCTGCATATGCCCAAATTGTTTCCGTTTCACTTAGTGATGCTATAAAAAGAGGATACTCTAAGCTTTTAGGAAAATTTGAGATATTCAAGAAATACATTCAGATATATATTGCCTTTAAGTTACTCCATCATTTTAGTTTTTTATATGCTATGAAATATGCATTTCCCTCTTTTCAAATAATGATATCAATTATTATATTGAAACTCTGAAGGTTTAAAGACATGACTTATCCTGGCTTTGTCAATATTTGTATCTTTCTTACAATCTTCTGCTTTGCAGTCGTTTACCAGAATTATAATGCAGCATGAATAAACCTAAAAAAATGACTATTGATTACAGAGAAAGCTTTGTGAAATCATTTAGTCAGTTTCCCCACTTGAGAAATCAGTGAATAAAATAGGTCAATAGATAAGAATGGAATGGATGTAATACAGTGCTGTGCTTCCCTGGGTTATAAAAAGGGTCAAAAATAAATCCCCATAGAATTCATGTTTTCATACTCATAAAATAAAATGATACTTACCAAATCCCAACTCTAAGTCCATCTTTCTACAGATTTATTCTTCTTTTTTAAACCACAGGTTTTGAAAGTATGTTTTTATGTGTCCCTGTTTCATTTCCCTGTCACTGCCCCTTTTAACCAAATAGGATGCCCTCATCATCGGGCTAAAGTGTCTGTTGTCATCCAGGTATTCATCGGGACTTTAGCTGCAACAGCTACTTTGTATTTTCTTACTGTCTCTTGCAACCTTACAGCTCTTCTCAAAACTGCATTTCATACTGTACTAAACTCTGCATCCTGTGCCGATTTTTGTTAAGTAATAGATAGCAAGACCTGAGACCACTCTCTCGGTTAGTTCCCATTCGTAGGGATCTCGTTGTCGGGCGGGGGGTTGGGGGGGAAGGGAGGACGGGGAAAGGGAGGGGAGGGGCCAGAAGGGGGTAGAGGGAGGGAAGAAAATACCTTCCCTGAACTAGTACAAGCTAAGCTTCAAACGATATCCTAGGAAAGAAATTAAAGACTTCTTAATTAGTGCAGCAATTAAGCTTTCTTGGTAGCATTTTAATCAGCACAGGCCCTATCAAAGGACAAACAGAACGATTTGCAGGTCTTTGAATTTTAAACAGTCTTATTGATTTCAGCACAATACATCTTCACAACACACAGGGAGAATTTTCTAATATCAGTTACAGTACTTTGAGTTTTGCTTATGCAAATTGAGTGAAGGTTGGGGAAGAGGAGATGGAGGGAAAGGACCTGAAACAAGCGGAGATGTAAAACAATAAACAAGCAAGACAAAAGCTCTGAAAGCTAAATATGCAATGGAGTGAGAATTCAAAATCTCTAAGTTGATTTATCTGCTGTTGTTAAATAACTGTTTGCCTTATTCATTGGCAACATTGCTCAAAAAGAAAGAAAGAAAAAGAAAAAGAAAAAGAAAAGGAAAGAAAAAAGATAAAACCTTCAAAATTGTCAAGGTTTTTATTTCCTACGTATTTTAATTTGTGCTATGTGTCTTTTCTAATCCTATTGTTTGATCGAAGGGGACCTGAGGTCAGGGGAAGGAAGTCTCCAGAGCTCTCATTCAGGTTGGGGCAAATGTCTCCAAGCCCTGCTTCTGAGTGGAGCACGTGCTGGAAGGCAAAGGTTTCCCTACAGTAGAAAATTTGGAGTTTGCTTCGAAGCAAGGTGGGATTATGGCTTGGACTGCTATCATTACTTCCTGTCTGTAGCTTCTGAATGTGGCAGGTATTGGGTGAGTGATAGTTTAAGGAAATGTAAAAAATGAGAATGGTAATGGCAGATGCTTGATATTTAATTCCCATTTTTCCATTTGTGGGTCTAGAACTTAATGAAACTATAGTTTAGTCTTTTAAAACCATATCAAAATTTATTAAAGTTAGGCGTAGAATTCCAAAATAAAATTAGCTTTTCAGGACTCAATACTTTCTTCCTCCCCTCCCCTCATTAACATAGTAATTTGGCATGTCTTTAAAAAGTACTATTTTCTAAAACATGCAAAAACACTTAAGGAAGTGTTTTGATAAATGCGATATATATTGAATTCCTACTTTTAACTGATAACAAATTTGAAGACTAAAACATTAATAAAAAATATTTCTGAATGTATTACAATGCATTGGTTAACCAGGCCAAACAACTGTGTAAACTTTAGTTGTCCTTGCGGAAGTTCATGGACTTTTCTGCAACAATCGATTTTCTGAATTCTTATCTCCCAGGAAAGCCTCCTGATTTAACTGCTATGTCCCAAAAAGTTTAGTAAAATCATACACTAATTAGTCCATAGTGTCATATTTCTATTTCTCGGTAGACAGTTCTTGCACTTTCTGACATTACGATTCACAGAGTTCAAAGGCTTAAAATAATAAAGAGAAATGTGATCATTTCAACACCAGAATGGTGAAAATTGTATTATAAAATTTCCCAACACTGTGAACCTACTACTAATAGTTTATTTTAAAAATCTGCCAAATGCTAAAGCATTGCTTCATATCTTATAAACTTAATGAACATGTGTAGACAGGTTCAAAGGCTAACTAATTGAAGATACTTGGAGATATGAGTAGCAAATAGATTTGACCCATTTTCAAATCATATGTTAGTCAAAAAATCCTTGAATAAATATCTCAATGCAACAAGTTAGAAAAAAGAAGAAAACGAAAGAGGAAGGAAAGGAGGAAGAGAGTCCAGTCTAAACTCAGCCTCATGTTGTTTTAAGCACAGCTACTCGTCTTTACAAGTCAACTAGTGAGCTTTGTTTTTGTTCTTCTCATTATTTACAAAACATATATTTACTGACAAATTGAAAAGGACTTTCCAAAACTACAGCAGCACTTTTCAAACATGAAAAAAAAAAAATAACTATTGTGTTGTCCAAAAAACACATTAGCAGCTGGCCTTGGGTCTTAAAGGACATGAGGATAGTTGGTTACTATGTAAGACAGGTGATTTAATTACAGAGTTTTGGGTAAAGAAAAGCCTTTTTCCACTTTCTAAATCTTCAAGGATGCCTTATCTCCTTGGTATCTCTAGGTTTAACAGGTATTTCTGACTGGCTTTTGGGGCGACAGTGAAGTTATTCTAAATAATCCACATCAAGTCAAGCATTTCTTTCCACAACCTATTAGGAAATATGGAATTGAATACCGAGCTTTCCATTATTCTTAAGCGATTTCGGACTGACTTTCTTCTCACCACTTGAAAACTGTCCTGGAATTGTTCACTATCTTTATATAAATAATTTAGTAGAGAAATAAAACAATCATATGCAAAAGAACGTTACGCTTTGCTTACATGTGAATTTTCCTCAAAATAATTTCTGAACAATTATGAAGTGGGGGCTGTGTTTTCATTTCTAGCTCATTGCCAAAACGCGTGGAGATGGATCCTAAATCCTTGAAGGAGAGCTCGGAGCGCTCTGGCTCCTGTTTAAGTTGGCGGGCGATTGTTAAGAAGCTTTGGAAAAAATTACCAGTCGCCGCGAACGAAATGGAATGTGAGACATGCAATCTAACGGTAGTAGTAGAAGAGAAGTAGATGATCTCCCTCTCCTTTTCCGATCGCCACTTCTGTGTCCCTGGCTTTTCCTCTCCGTCCCTCCCACAGTTTCTTTCCGTATCCTCCCCCTCCCCTCCTCCTTTCCTCGCACGCTCCCTTTCCAGTGTCTCGCGCTCTCGGAGTCTCTGCTCCGAGTTCCTGGTTGGATAATTTGGGTTAATACTAGTGAGTGAGGTTTTTGCGGCTTCAAAGGGTATTTCAAGTTTCCGGAGCTCCTCCCCTCTGCACCGTGTGACAACAACAACTCGTCCAGCCGGCAGCCTGCACTTTTCAGCTCATTTTCTCTCTGTCATTCCCCTCTCAATCTTTGATCAATGTACTTGCCAGGGAGAGCCCAAGTCCTTCAAACCTCCTCCTTTTCACCTTCATCCTTAACTTTGTGCTAGACCGGGACCCACACAACAACAGCCGACCCTCCCCCCTTTCCCCCCCAAACCAGCCCTCGATCCCAGCCCCCGGAGAGGACTCGCATTTCGACTTGCGGGACACTTTTGTGCGTTTCTCTCCAGAGCGCCTCTCGTGCTCGCCCCTCCTGCGCTCTCTCTTTATTACCTTCACCTCCTTTTCTCCCCCTTCTCTCCCTTTCTCCTTCTCGTTCTCTCCTGGAGTTGTTGTTGTTGCCCCCCTCGCTCCTTCTCCCCCCTTTTTTCCCCTTCCCCTCCCGGGGGTGTGTGGCAACTTTTCCCCTCGCTTCTCCTCCGTCTGTTTCCCCTTATATGTGACCATGGCAGTGCCGGCGGCTTTGATCCCTCCGACCCAGCTGGTCCCCCCTCAACCCCCAATCTCCACGTCTGCTTCCTCCTCTGGCACCACCACCTCCACCTCCTCGGCGACTTCGTCTCCGGCTCCTTCCATCGGACCCCCGGCGTCCTCTGGGCCAACTCTGTTCCGCCCGGAGCCCATTGCTTCGGCGGCGGCGGCGGCCACAGTCACCTCCACCGGCGGCGGCGGCGGCGGCGGCATCAGCGCTGGCGGCGGCGTCGCCTCCAGCACCCCCATCAACGCGAACACCGGCAGCAGCAGCAGCAGCAGTAGCAGCAGCAGCAGCAGCAGCAGTAGTAGCAGCAGCAGCAGTAGCAGCAGCAGCTGCGGCCCCCTCCCCGGGAAACCCGTGTACTCAACCCCGTCCCCAGTGGAAAACACCCCCCAGAATAATGAGTGCAAAATGGTGGATCTGAGGGGGGCCAAAGTGGCTTCCTTCACGGTGGAGGGCTGCGAGCTGATCTGCCTGCCCCAGGCTTTCGACCTGTTCCTGAAGCACTTGGTGGGGGGCTTGCACACGGTCTACACCAAGCTGAAGCGGCTGGAGATCACGCCGGTGGTGTGCAATGTGGAACAGGTTCGCATCCTGAGGGGACTGGGCGCCATCCAGCCAGGAGTGAACCGCTGCAAACTCATCTCCAGGAAGGACTTCGAGACCCTCTATAATGACTGCACCAACGCAAGGTGAGTCGCAGGGGATAGCCCCCGCCACCCGGGCCCCTTCCCACCCGCCTGCTCGCCCTGCCCTCGCTCCCTTCCCGGCGCCGCTCGCTCTGCGCGCCCGCGAGCCGCGCGCCCCGGCGAGCGCGGCCCTCTCTTCTCGTGCTCGGGGTTCGCCAGCCGCGCCCGACCCCTGAGAAGCTGGCACCTCACCCTGCCCAGACCTCGCTCTTCGGCCCGGTCCGCCCCTTGCCCAGTGGGTCCCGGGGATGGGCTGCTGTGGGACGCGGGAAAAGCCGAGCCTCGGGGCGGAGGGGACGAGCCGGAGGAGGAAGGCGTCTTTCCTGGAGCCATAGCCCCCTGCCCCGGGCGCGCGGGCGCCTGGAGACCCCTCTCAGCGCTGCCGTCCGCGTTCGTGCGCTCCCTAGGACCTGGGTTCCACCGCCCGCTTCCCAGCACCGACAGGGCTGATCTGTGGCGCCGAGCGCCGTCCCAGGGGCGGGGGGAGGTCGTGACCTGCTCCGCAGGGCTCGGGGAGCGGGGAGACGCGCTCCGGGTGAGGGGCCCGCTGGGAAAGGCGAGGGAGCGGGCCAGCACCCGAGGAGGGCACTTTGAGGTCGGGAGGGAAATGACCCGCGAGGCTGAGAGACCGGGGCCATCCCGGGGGATGAGCTCCGGGGAGCTGAGCTCCGAAGCCCGGAGGGGAAGCCCGTCGAGGGGAGGGGTCTGTGTGTTCGCGCATGTGTGCGTGTGTCCGCGTGTGAGTGAGTGCGTGTGCAAAGGAAATAAAGGGGTGCGGTGGCCCCGGGGCAGATGCGAGGGCAACCAGCAGGTTTTCTTCGGTAGGGGGAGGTGACCGAGTGCCCAAGACTCAATGGAAGCTGAACTGGAGAGATTAGGAAGGAAAGCCACGAAGCGCGCTCTCTCTCTCTATCTCTCTCTCTGTCTCTTTCTCTCCAAAGTGTGTTTTCTTTCTTTCTTTCTCTTTTCTTAAAGGTTAGTAGCTTAAGCAGCGAGCAGGTGCACACTTTGCACTGGAATGCTCAGCGGGCCTGATACTCTGTTCCTTGGCTTCCCCAGCCCAGCGGAGCGCGCGCACGGAGGCGGCGGCGGGACCGGTCCCCAGCCAGACCAGTTTTATGCTAATGAACGCTCAGTGGGGGAGGATCTACCGAGAGGGGGCGGGAGTGGGGCAACTTGTCAGTTTCGGGTTAGAGATGATCATTCCACCCCCTTTCACAGCTCCGCTTTGTCCCCACGGTTCGCTGCAAGGAAGTGCAGAGGCAAAAGTTCAGAGTGGGATTCCGGGAGAAAGAGAATAGGGAAAGTTGAAGACCTGAAGCGGGCACGTGGGAACTGCGCGCAAAATTTGCGCGGAAACTTCGGTACCCTCCAAATAAGTTTGAAGATTGAGAGAAGGAGGGGAGTTGATGTGTGCCCCCGCAGAGACAGGGAAACTTAGGTGGAAAGGAAGTGTAATAAGGAGACCAGAAGGAAATTGTGTTGAAAAAGCGCTAGCTATTTTTTCCATGGAGAAAGACTTCTCGCTTAGTGCCCGAGAAGGCTGAGAAAAGAAAAAGATTCGAATTCCAGTCCAGCAAATGTCCTATCCTGACCTAGCCAGAAATTCTTTTCCGTGTTTAGGTACTCTTCGTTCCATGGGACATGGGTGTGTTTGGGCTTTGAACCTTCGACTATTTGGGGGTAAATGCTGTGTGTGTGTGTGTGTGTGTGTGTGTGTGTGTGTGTGTGTGTATGCGCGCGCGCCCAAATGTATGCACAGGTGGCAGTAAAGATGGGGGGTAGTGGGGGTTGCGGAAGCAAGATCACTAAATGTCATTTACTCAGATAATTGGAGCTCTTGGTCGTGCAGAATATAAAATATTTGCCCCAAATCTATTTGAATCAGGTCAGAAAAATTGTTCTGGAGTTACGAAGAAAGCTAGGTGAAATTTGAAGCTAGTTCAGATACGATAGTTATAAAATTGTCTGCCTATCCAGTAAATTGGTGAATCGCTACTGTTTTTTTTCTCCTTAGTAATCAAACATCTACTCTCCTCGGAATCCTCTTTATGTGTTTCTTACAACACACTAGATACTAGATAATTAAAGTCCATTTCACATACACATACGTAAACACACAAAATTGCTGGAGAAAACTTCCTTCAGTGACTGTATTATAATAAGTGTTATAATCAGTGTTAAACTTGATTTATTCCCTGAATTTTTGCCTAGATTTTAAGTCCTCACCATGTGGTTGGAGAATATTCTTAAAGTTATTAACTAAATTTTTTTTCAAGTTTTTTTTTCCTCCTGAGGTTAACAACAGATCTGGAGTTTAAACTTGCAGAGCCAAGATAAGTCAAATACAGTGGAACTGTTTATCTCTTCACAAATATCTCATCACTACTGTAATTATGTTTCAATCACCTGGCCTTAATAATTTGCAATTACATGTGTTGCTCTAAAACCCTATTTCAAGTTATTTTTAAGTTAAAGGCAGTAAGTTTGTTTATTTAGTATTGAATTTGATCATATGTCAACTAAAAAAAGCTTACTCTAACTGAAATACATGCAATATTGTAGTAATTAACTTGAGAAGGTGTTTAGTTGCAAATACTTACCTTGATTTTCCTAACTCTGCCACTGATTGAAGAAATCGAGAACTTGTAATGGAACTCTCTTTCACCAAATATACTGTTTACCTTATATTATTATTTTTAATGATTATAATAAGCATTATTGTCTTATTTCTTACCTTTGAAAGCTTTGAAATGTTTTGCATCTTGCATTTATAAAATTTTGATTACTTTTTCATTCAAGTCCAGTTTATATCTTTGCTATGAAGAACCTTATTTATTCACCTAGATGTATTGATTTATTTCACTTTGGTTTCTTTTTCCTCTAGCTACTTGACAGGCTAAGGGAGTAATTTATGTAGAGTATAAGAGAAGCTGAGCAAGAAGGGAAACTATATAAAAGTACTATATATACACCCATATATGTGTGTATATAATTTATACATGTACATGTTATAATTTATATAAAATGAGAAACATCAAATCTTAGCACTCTCAGCTTTTTACAGAATCTATATCTCTCTCTCTTAATAGCATGGAATAATAATACCAGGGATTTTGAGGAACCAAAATGATGTTACAGAAAAGTAAGGTTCATAAACTTGCTCAAAGTTTCTCAGTAAGTTAGTAGCAAACCTTAGAGTGGATTTAATTTGCTTGGGGCTATTGCATTAGTATGCTATCTAGGAAAACTAGAATAAATGTTGAAGCCATCTGTCATTACCACAAGGAGATGAAAAAGAGACTATCACCTGCTAGACAGTAAAGCTAAAAAATAAAGGTCTCAAAACATGAAAGAAACCTAAGGAAATATATTTAAAAGTTGTCAAAGGGCAAAGTCTGTCCTTGATCAGCTTCCTCCAATTATTATTTTAAAACTAAACATTAGTTGCATGAACTTGGCTGTTGCAACAGAGGTCAGTTAATTAACTGCTTACCATTAAATAACAACAACAAAAAAAGAAAAGTAATTATGTACACGGTCAAATCTCTGTTTGTATGAGTCAGTTCCCTTTTTGTAGATTTGGGTTAGGATTCAATTTTCCATGAATCCAGGTTTTAAAAAAGCGACCCTGTTTTATTATGTTATCTAAAATATTCATTTCTTTTATGATTGAAGATAATTTTGTCTCAGGATCTTTCAAACAAGATTGTGATGTAGGTTCTAAGTAACCCTAGATTTGAGGAGTATTTAACTTAAGTAGATTCCAGTTATTCTTATATATTTTATAGGTGCATATATATATTCACAAACAGAATTCTTTTGTCTTAAAATACCATCCATGGACAAAATATTGAAAGAATTTTATGTTTCCATAGTAATATATGAATGAAATTATAGTGTAAGAAGTACAAAATATTTTCCAATTCTTGACTCTATTTTTTTTTTTTTTTTTTTTGGTTAGGAGTTTTAATAAAGATGGCAAACCGAACCAGTCTATATTTATTTAACATTTGCCCTGTTGCCTGCTTTTCAGTGACACAGACTTATGCATTGATATAGAAAGTTTAACACAAATATAGATTCACTTCTAACAGATAATTACAATACTTGGCACAGAGAAATTAAAAGAATTGCTTCAAATGAAGAGATTCTGCTTTTGAAGTTTTTGTATTGCAGTAGATTAGTGCTTCCAATAACGCCTAATGTCTCATTTTATATCATTTCAAAAGAATAGGGCATAATTAGAAGACTAAAGCTTAAATATGAAAGTTTGCTTGATCCCACAACTTATTTCTGTATGCTTTAAAAGTGTTAGCAAATTACACTTTAATAACTAGTATATGAATAAAATATAAGAATATTCTAACCTAGAATTTACCTTGTTAAATCAAATTATACTGCAGGATATAAGTTGTTGAGTTATTTGGATAATCTCTTTCAAACCTGTTGTTTTTCTGGGAGTTAGTCTCTCATAACATCGTAGTTATTTTTGTTAAAAGTGAACCTGGTTATGATGATACTTTACTTTCTGAACTCCACATTTAATGCTCTGATGTAAGAAATTTGATTTGCACATATAATATTTTGTTTTGTGAAGCTTCAAACATTATATAAAATAAACTACACGACAGGGTTTTTTCCTCCAGAAAAATTCTGGTATTCACATTTGACACATGATTTTAAAATCTTCATTTTTTAAGTCCAAATCTGCTTTTTTTTTTGGATTATTCTACTAAATTTCACTCAAATTTCATGTCAATTACTTGGACAAATATTAGCCACCCTCTTTTTGCCTCACTACATCCCCCAACTCCCTGAGATGTGACACCCTATATTGACTAAAGTCTTGGCAGGATTTGAGCATAAATCACTCTTGTCTTTGGCGATTTACTACGTGTGCTTCAATAGCATACGAAAACATAATATGCTTTATTGTTTCTCATTTGATGTTTTGTTTTTAGAATATAAGTAGCAGTTGTAAATTAGCTTAATGTGCAACC